CCATACCCAATAGGGGGGGTGGGTGGGTGCCGGCGCAGCCGGCCCAGAATATCGGGCGCCTCACTGTGGGCAATAAGGAAGACGGTGAGAGGCATTCACTAGGAAAGAGAGCCCCAGTAGCGCCCCGGAGGAGCTGTGTAGAATCCGTACATCGGTGCACAAGCCAAACGCAAGCGGCCATCATTTAATTCGTCTGAGCCGCGCTTTGTCAACTCACGCGCCGCGTCGACGCGCCTTGGTCTCCGACCACCATCAGTCTTGACACAATGACGAGCGCTTTGAGCGGGCCTTCCACATTGACCGATATCATAACCCCTCAATTCCACCAGAATGTATTCCAAGAGGAGAACTTCATAAAGACGGAACTACACATCAAGCTCGACAAAGGTACGCATACGCCCGCCGTGCTTTCCTCGAGTATCGCGCTCACAATAAATCGACTATTGCTACATAGATGACCAAATATGCAGACTGAACCTAACGCCCGCAGGCTGCCCCCTCGGCCCGCTCCACTGCCCCCTCCGCCACACCTACCCCTCCGCCGAGAACTTCCAGCCGCCCAAGCCCGCGCCCACGCACACGCGCGACATGCAGCGCCTCGCGACCGTCTGCAAGCACTGGCTGCGCGGCCTGTGCAAGAAGGGCGACGCGTGTGAGTTTCTGCACGAGTACAACCTGCGGCGCATGCCGGACTGCTGGTGGTATGCGAAGTACGGGTATTGTTCGTCGGGCGATGAGTGTTTGTATTCGCATCCGCGGGAGAAGAGGGTTGAGTGTCCGGATTATAAGCGCGGGTTTTGTAAGCTTGGTACGTGGCGATGCTATTGAATGTATTACAACTTACTGATCAGTCTTCAGGCCCGAAGTGCCCTCGTAAACACGTTCGGCGAGTCGCGTGTCAGGCCTATTTGAACGGTTTCTGCCCGCTAGGTCCGGAGTGCCCGAAGGGACAGTACGTGCGCATCCTCCACCAAATTGTTACATTCTCTGATATTGGTATTTTACTAGTCCCAAACCCCAACTCCCGCAGCCTTCAGAATACAACCCCCCACCACTACCCAACCAGCGAGACCTCGGACCTCCACCCCCAGGCTACGGCCGCTACGCCGACTTCGACCCCACCAATGCGCGTTCAGGCGGTGGACAGAACTACGGTGGCGGCGGCAGTGCAGGCAGAAGCGGAGGCGGCGAGTTCAGCGGCCCGCCTCGGCGGAATCTGGACGAAGTGCTGTGCTTCAAGTGTGGCGAGAAGGGTCATTATGCGAATCATTGCAGGAATCGGAATGTACCGGGTAATCGGGGAGGAGTTGAACGGGGGCCGAAGCGGTACGACGAGGAGTAGTTGTAGTTTCTCTGGTTATGATGTATATATCTTTACGTTGCTGTCTTATGATGTCTATTTCTGCTAGATTCATGTGCTGATGAAGTGGTGAATATGTTCGAGCGGACGGGACGCGCCGACGCTCCGTTGATCCGTTGATGGAATTAGACGTCGGCCAGTGCCACAGTGAACGCGTGACGTCATTCTGTATGCAAGACGGTAGCTTGAGCTTGAGCGCTTGAGCCTTGAGCGCACTTGACCTGAACACCATCTACCACAGGCTCACCAATACACCTTCATAAGTATGTGCGCCGTACGTCTGCTTCAAGTGTGCCCGGGATCAGCTCATTGGTAGATACTACCAGACATGCAAGCAACATCGTCCGACCTAGCCTCCTTGACAGCTTCAGTAGCAGAGGACCTTAAATCACACATCACCAGCTCGAGCTCGACCGCGCACCCATCCCGCGACGACCTCCTACGTCCCGCTCAAGCTCTCTGCGACGTGTTCGCATCCGCCGCACCACCCGACGACATCCTCACGCACTTTTCTTCCAATCCCACCGCAATCGAACATGGAGACCCCTCTCTTCTGCCCGAGCTAAAGCTGGGCACACCCTACACAGGAATTAATGGCGTGTCGGGGTACTTCAACACCATCGCGAGTCTGTTCAGCTTCGAGAACATGCGGTTCTCTGACTGGAGCGTCGATACGGAGGAGAAAGTGGTCTGCGTGAGAGGGAGGGCGAGGTTCAGTTGGAAGAGTACGGGGCAGGGATGGGACGAGGTGTTCTTCTATAGGCTTGCCATGGTCGAGGAGAAGGATGAATGGAAGGTCGGGACGTATGAGGTGTGGGCGGATACGGGCGCCGCGGTCAGAGCGAGCGAGGGGGAGCTCAGGCAATGAATGGTATATATGATATTAATCCAGGGTACAGAAGTCCGATTGTCGACGTGTATAAATACATATGAATGGATGCAATACATGACAGACACGATGTTATACAAAGCTCAAAGAAAGTGCTCGACAAACATCCCCCACTTCTCAATAACAGGCTTCACAATCAACTCCCACTCCCGATCATCATACCGCCCCTTCGCCCTCTCGAACGTAAAGATCTCCTTATGCATCTTCCCGCAGTCCGGACACTTCTTCACGTCCCTCTTCGCCTTCTTCCCCTTCGCACCACCATCATCATCATCCGACGCCGACATATTCGACGGAAAGCCGGAGTCGAGGTACGGCGCATACGCCGCGAGATCCGCGAGCTCGAGATGCACGAGCCGCTCGAGGCGGTGGCACCATTTGCCTTTGTCGCCCGCGACGATCAGTCCGCGCACGAGGCTCGCCTGGTCGGGCGTCATCCCGCCCGGCCAGTGTCCTCGGAGCACTTGCTCGTGCGAGCCGCATTGCTTGGACCATTGGTCCATGCGCCTGTTCAGATTTGTGGCGCGGCCGACTTTGAGGTGGACTATCGAAGGCGTCGATGGGTCGAGGATCTCGAAGGTGTAGATGTATCCGTCTACGTCCGAGTCTGAGCGCGCTTTTTGCATTTCCGATCTCAGCGACGCCTGAGTTGAAGGCTGGAGGTGGTCGGGTATCCAATCTGAGTTGAGTCACACAATAAGCATCGCGCGTGAGTGGAGATGGTGGGAGAGGTGCGTACCGCCGAACTTGACGAACGTCTTGCCCGTCTTGCGGTCGTAGAACCCGCTCGGCTCGCGCATCTTCTTCTCGTGCTGGTGGCAGAACACGTCCCCGTCCACCCCGCTCGCCGTCTTGACCATCTTCCTACACCGCGCGCCCGCAGCCGTCATCCCAGCGCACTGCACCGCATCCCCGTCCTTATTCTTACCCGGCGAACCAACAACAACAACCGGCGACGGCGGCTCAGAGTTCGCACGCTTATGTATCGGTCGCGCGAGCTTGGGCGGCTGGGGCGTCTGCGCGGTGTGTTTCTTGGATTTGATCGGTGTGGAGGGCGAGCCGGTGAGATCGATCACGTCGGTGGTGGTGGGGACGGCCGAGTCTGAGTTTGGGCGCTGGATGTGCGTGGGAAGGGGAGGGGCGAGGTGCGGCCTGTGCGGAGACGGCGAGCCGAGCGCGTGCTGCATCGTGAGCGAGGGGCCGGATTGGGGGGAAGGTCGGGGCATAGACGGCGGGCGGGGGAGCGGTGGCAGGCCATGCTGCGTCGTCGCGGGTGGGCCACTTGCCGGTCTGGGCCGCTACATCCATATATTAATCTTACTTTCAACATAGCATCAAGATAGTGCGTACTGGAGTTGTAGGCATAGTGGCTGCGAACCCGCCTATGAACGGTGTACTATGTGTCGGATACGGGTACGAGCCCTGAGGCTGGGGCTGTGGCATCTGCGCGTATATCCCATTGGGCGGGTACGACGGCTTGCGTTCTTTAGGCGGAGGCGCCGGTGGACTGCGACTCTTGCCCGCAAGCGCGAGCGCGTCGAACGACTCGACCAGATCGCGCATATCGGCGCGGGTAATCTGCTCGTTCACCCCGAGTGTAGAAATGAACCCAGATGAGGGGAAAGGACAAGGGGGATGCGAGGCGGGGCGTGCGCGTGCGCGTGCAGCGCCTTTGGGGGCGCCATCATGGCTGTTGAGCGACTCGCGTGGGAGGCGAGGACCAGGAAGCGCCGAGACGCGCCCACGTGAGATTAGCGGCGTATAGAAAGATAACCCTCGAAGCTGGCGACGCATGATAGAGGGGTGTATTGTCGACGCATAGCATAGCTAGTGATATATAGCAAGTGTCGCGGGACGTTACTGTGGTCTGTGGAGCATATAAGGCCAGGAAAGCGTGTGGTCATCTGGTGAACAGGCCGGCCAACAAAAGCAGCTGGCCACGAAATGCCATCAAGCAAGCAGGCCACGAAATCAAAACAGAGAGACCCCTGCTAGTTATAGTCTAGATGACACGTTGATCAATTGACTGATAGCGAGTCAACGTTCAACCCATATGGAGAAGTCGAAAGAGGCCACGAGTACGTATCCGGTCGGTGCAGTAGATGATGCGCACAGGCAGAGCACTCTAGTAAGTGTCCCATGTCAAGGCATGTACTTCTCGAGGACGGAGCATTGCGATCCTAGCCCGTGTTCTTTCGGAAGAGCAATAGGACTCTCAAGCCGGTATATGTAATAGAACATGCAAAATGTGATGGGCGGAAAGCTACGACGTACAGAGTGTAAATACAGATACAGCATCCTACCAGGATGCGAAATATAGACATATATATCGAATCACCATCCTAGTGATCGTGACCCTCGTGCTCATCGGCAGGAGGCGCGCCTCTCCTCCATGCACTCTGCAGGCATACCTCGAGCGCCTCGACCAGGGCGGGGTTTTCTAGTGCAGCAGCCACACGCTCCTTGTCGTTAAGCTGCTTGTTCACTGAGAGATCGTTAGAGAGCATGAACGACGCTCAACGATGCCACATACCTCCGTGCTCGCTGTTGTGCGAGCCCGGCTTGACTTTGATGTCTACCTTGAACCGATCGGGCAGAGAGCGTAACAGGCGCACGCGGATTGACAAACCTACACGCGCGAGTAACCTCAGTCCAACCTGAGCCCATATAGAATCTGGAAAGACGCACCGATGAGAGTTGACATGCCGCAATGAGGTACAGTAGGCGTGAACTCGACAAGTACGTGATTCCGCGCATTGTCAACCGTGATCTGAGGCGAAGAGACGACCGCGAGCATCTCGAGCGTCATAGATCGGTGCTCGGGGTCGCTGATCGAGCGGATGAGGTCTACAATATCTCGCGTTAACATCTCTCCAGGATGCAGGTACTGATGCGCGCACCGAACACCTCGTCCGCGTCTATAGGCTCGGCCTCATTATCCGACCCATAATCCGACTCGTCCGAGTCAGATATCCACAGCGAGTCTTTCGCAGCACGGCGGCTCGCGGTCTTCGTAGGTACGAAGACGGTCGGGTTCGCGTTGAACACTTGGTCCATCCCTCGTAGTCAATATATCTTTCGTAGTCAATATGTCTGAGGTGAGCGGTGATGGGAAGGTAGAGGCAGATGGAGGTCGAAGGCAAAGAAGCTGAGCAAGACGACCCCCGGAAACAAATCGGACGGCCGAAAGCGCGCTCGGCAAACGCCGTTACCACACCTCAGGCGCGTCTTGGCGGCGCGCCTGCCTTCTGCCCACCACCACCGTTTCTGCCGCCTCCCCTTGTAGTCATGCCCCCCAAGGTGCATATTATAATTTTTATGACTAAACGACGCGTGCTGACGCGAAGAATACAGAGAAAAGCTGCGGAAGTCGATGCGGATGCGCCTGCGAAGACGACGCGTAGCTCGGCGCGTTTGAAGGGTGGCGAGGTTGATGAGTCTGGTGCGTGGCTTCTATATGTGGACTCTCGGGCGTTGTGCTGACTTTGTGCCACGTGCTGTTACAGAGTCTGTACCCGCGAAGAAGGCGCCTGCCAAAAGGTGCGCTGTGGTTACTACCTGTACGGTATACAGGAAGAGCTCATGGCACTGCGATGTGTAGGGCCCCCGCGAAGAAGGCCACGAAGGCTAAGGAAGAGGTCGACGATGAAGCTGCTGTGCGTGGCCAACACTCTTGACATTGATACCCACACTGAGTCCCATCCACACAGGCGCCACCACCCGCGAAGAAGGCAAAGACGACCAAGGCCGCGGCGAAAGCACCCAAGGAGCCCGCAGCCAAGGCGTCCAAAACCAAGGCAGCATCTTCTAAGTAAGCATACAACTCATTTGTGCTAGTGCCATCCATAGGCTCGGAACTATACTGTGAGTCGATTGCATTAACCTGTGGCGCCTCTATATCTAACTTCTGGACTTATCTAGCATACACCCTCCGCAGATCCACCAAATCGAAAGCAGCACCGGCCGTCGCCACCAGGTCCGTCCCTCCTCCCCACACGCCTCCCATTCACACTAACACAGCCCCCAGTGACGTAAGATCATTCCAGCCCTCCGCCATCTATTTTGAGAAGCTTATACGATAGACCGTTTCCACCGCTTCATTCAGGCTCAGACGAGGTAAGCATGCCCGCTTCCTCGTGTTTGGGAACACACACGCACGCACCTGCCCTTATCCGCGTACCACTACCATCGCCGTTATACCCTTTCCCCTTCTGCACTTGATTTGAGGCTATGGGCTGGTTCGCTGCGCTGTGTTGCATCCCTGGGCCGAGTAAACCGAGGAGGCTACCAGACGCTAACGATCTCTCCGTCGACCATCTCAGATCCCCCGAAGCCAAAGCGCCCGTCCCACCCACACCCGTACGTGCATCCTCCTCCTCCCCTCACCTCTCTCGGATAACATTGCCCAACTCACATACGCGCCGCACAGGCATTCGAGCCATACAGCGCCAAAGCCGCCGACCACCTCTTCGCCGCATACGCCGACGCGGACGACGCGGGCGTGATCGACCCCGACGGACTCGCGAATCTGTGCACGGCCGGCCAGATCTCGATGGAGGGCGCGATGCCGCTGTTGCTGTCGTGGCAGCTCGGAGAGGACGAGATGATGAAGCTCACGAAGGATAAATGGGTGAAGGCTACGGCGGAACTGCAGTGCGTTTCTCGTTTCAGTGCGATTCGTTTCAAGAGGCTTTATCGCCGTGGGCGGCTGATGGACTGATTGGGTTTGTGGATTTGTTGCAGGATATCATCGTTGCCGACGCTCGCGCTCGCGTTAAACGAGCTATACGACCTGCTTATACTCCGCAAACCGGCTCTACCGCATAAAGCCGAACGGGGACCTTATAATCGGGCGCGGTACTATGCTTATGCGAAGGATCCGAAGAAGGCGTTTGCGGAGTTTTATGGGTATTTGTATAAGCTCGTTACGCCTCCGTACGTCGTTCATACACTATGTCTGTATATGGCGTAGGATGCTGATGTGTTTGTGCAGAGGGTCGAGGAATATTGAGGTGGACACTGCTCTGACGCTGTGGACTGTGGCGCTTGCGCCGGCGTATCCCGTCGTGAGCGAGGTCGTGGAGTTCGTGAACGTGCGTCATTTGCTGTACCGCATGTATGCATACTTGCTGAACATGCTCGTAGGAGGCTGGCAGCTTCAAAGCGGTCAACAAAGACCTCTGGAGCATGATGCTGGAGTTTTGCGACACGATCAATCCGGACCTATCTAACTACGACGCTGACGATGGAGTGCGTGGCTCTTTCATCTTTGCTTAATGGACTCAGATGGCTGACGATATGCGGCAGGCATGGCCGACGATGATTGACGACTTCGTCGAATGGAAGAAGGCCAAGGAGAAGCCGGCCGGGGAGCACGTCGTCGCTGTCGATTGAGTTCATTTTTTCGTTCAGGTCCTAGAAGGTCTCCCGGTTCGGTTTCTGGTCTCTTCACGCTCACATTCTACACGCATGGACTGTCGCATAATGTTTCGTATGTATCTCTCTCCCAACTGTTTTTTATCACGATTGCGCTGCGTAATACAACACTATCTCGTTCTTCCACGCGTGTGGATCGATCAACAAGGATTGATCTGTCGTTCTGGCCGTGTGCACGCACGGAGGGAGAGTTTCAGATCAAGCGTATGAGATGCATACACGCTACAACAACGCTAATCAAGAAGGGGACTCAAAACGTCATAATCAAACAAAGACTCAGTAAACGCGGTTTCGCTTCAGAGGCGGCAAGTCGTGCTACCCGTGTCGTACGGGCTTGGCTCGAGCACTTTGGCGCAACTCCTCTGCCGCGTCGCCGTTCTGTACGTCGCAGAGCTTCTTGTGAAGCCCGACATCATAAGCCACTGGATGCAACTCTACAACATCCAGAGTCTGTTCTCAAGGTAAGTTGCAGTAAATGCGCTCCACAAAGTCTGGGACTCACGACGATGCCGGCCCGCAAAGCTGCTGCAACCGTCTGCTCGTTCACACGTAGGTGTTCTGGTAAGCGATCTCCCCGACGAAGTGCGCGCAAAGTCTCCATAGCGCTCGCGACGTCGTCGTCCGAAGGTGGTTGGAGTCGATCGTGCTCGTCCCAATGGCTCGACGCCATGCGTGCATGTCTTTCCAGTGCGCACTTATTGAAGGGGGTGCGTAGGTTGGCGATTACAAACGCCCAGTCCGAGATAGTCTGCTAACTTGGTTATATGCGTCCAAAGCTGTGAAACAAAGTGTGCGAACCTTTTCGGGCATAGTTCTCCATTCCTCAGGTGTGACGGGGTCTCCTCGCTTCAGCGAGAAGTTGCCGACATACTTGTACCAAAAGGGGCTTTTTGTAACGGCGCGCACGAACAAGGAGTTAACCTTTCCCATGTGTTCCAAACTGACCGTATCCCAATCGCAGATCATTGTACCGCGCTCTCCTGGCATACGAGGTAGCCCCGGGCTGGTCTTAATGTTGGTGAAGATCGCAGGGACCTTCATGTCGCGGCCGGAAGCGTCGACGCCGCGCTTGATAGCGGAAAATGTACTCGCCGGCCATCCAAAGTGCCGGGAAACGTTGCCCCACTTGATCCAGCGCGCTTCAGAAGCTCCGGCATTGCGTATATCGGCTTCCGGAAGGCAGGGAACATGGCGCATTCGTTGATTCAACGACGGAGGAGCCTCATTCTGAATGCAGTCGGTCTCGACAAGATTGGCTGTAATGCAGATTGAGTGCGAGCTCGAGGTCTCATAGAACGAGGCATATGCGGACGTACGTCCTGATCGCCTGGCGCGCTTGGCGCCTCGAGCCTGATCACCATTGACGGTGTCCTCAGCCGGGCGTTTATTGCATTGCTCAGTCGATTGCACAGCAACAGGCTCATGTGTTAACCCGAAGCTGTTCGAGTCTGATAAGATGTCTCCTTCAAGAGAAGTATTGACGAGCATCTGTAGGTGTGCAGTATATCAATCATATATGCATGAAAGGACGTCGACACCACGCACCTCTTCAGTTTGACCTTCGTGCGATTCCGGATGTTGCCCAGTGGATCCTGTACTGCGAAGGCATGCGAGCTGAAGATGATGCTCTCTCCACGTTCTGATAAAGAAAGGTCGGAAAGCGCAAGCAATGCGAAAAGCAGGAGCGTACCACGATCTCTTTGGCCTTCAGAATGGCAATCTCTCTGTCCTTCGCATCAAGCTGCATGCGATATTGCACGAGTTGTCGCTCGAGATCCCACTTCTTGAGCCTCATCTGATCTCTCTCACTTTGAAAGGCATTCTTTATAGCTCGCAGTCTCTCGTATCTGCCCAAGTCCTCATTGCGGGCACGCCGGACTTCAGCGAGTTCGGCCGCCATGGTTTCCTGGGGCGCATAAGTAGTGAATACATCTTGTAGAGAGTTTACCAGCGCACCTTCGCAATTAGAGCCTGAAGTAAACTTCCAGATAGCTCTGCAAGATGAACGTGCTTTCTATGCACTTCACCTTCGAGCCGTTCAATGAGCTCGTCAAAGTCCTCACTGAGAGACATGCGGGTCACACCCGGGGATGCTTCCTTCTTGCCCGGCATGTAGTAGACAGCAGTTCAGAGTTTAGATTATCGCACGACGCAAGAGGGGTTCTAGACTCCAGGCGAGTAGGAGAAACGGTGCAGATGGCGGTCAAGGGTACAAGAGGCCCTTACCGACGACCTCGTCGCGGTCAAGTTCGGCTGGCCTGGCGCCACCCGTCACGCAAGTGACAGTTCGCGCTAGCAGTGACGAGACAAGCCGTCGGACCGCGCCGGCCTCGGTTTCTCCAAGGTGTCAGCACTGAGCTCGGAGTGCTCTTTATCGCATTGATGCACCGAGCCAGATGGTCACGAAAGTAATGTATCCAACGCCCCGCTTTGGTAAGTACTCGAAGTGACAGGCCGACGCGATATATAGGCAACAACATGCAGAACAACGCCCGCCTGTACTCGTATCCTCTTGCATAGCATGTTTGTAGTCCTTCATAGACTCGAATGTATCGATGTAGTTGAAACCCGGCGACGTTGAAGCCAACCGCGACCTGACCGTACACCGCGAAGTTGCGAGCAGCCAAGTGACGAAAAGCGCGACTCATGTCGGAGCGAACTCGGAGTTGTCATAACGGAGGTCCGCGGCCGAATCGGCACGGCACGTGTATTTTCCTGGCCTCTCACAGTTGGTGCCAGCCAGTGCCAGCCCGACTCGGATGCTTGCTCTCCACGGCCGTGTGCGAGCTTATGGTCTCTTTCAGCAACAACTCTGATAACTTAGCGATATCAGACTGCTATTGTCTGAATACATGAACCCGCATACGGTGAACCCGAGCGCAACAAGGCGTACGGGATTCGCATAGGATGTGTCGTTCCCGGTGTCATGACACCAGTCGGTTTATAGCTTGTAGCCCGCACACTTGAGCAGTCACGTCGGGATGCTGTACTTCCGGTTCTCACTTTGCGTCTTCTGCGCCTGAGAACGTCGGCCGAATGCTCGTTGAGCGCGGGATATAAACTGGCGTCGTGTGGCTTACCGCCTTCCAATAACAACCCTCTCCCAACCAGCCTTTCCATTGTTGTTTCCACCTGCATACTAGTCCCTTCAACTACGATATGATCGGACAGGACGCCGCCGCCAAACTACGACACACGCTCGAGAAGACGGAGGAGCTAGTCGTGGCACCGGGCGTGTATGATGGCTTCTCAGCTCGCATCGCGCATCAGGTTGGCTTCGACGCACTTTACATGGTCTGCCCATCCTATCAGTTTATACGATTTTTGTACTCATATGTCTTAGACTGGCGCAGGAACGTCGGCCTCACGCCTCGGCCACGCTGACCTCGGCATTGCCACTCAGTCAGACATGATCGCACACGCAGGCATGATTGCAGGACTGGATACTCGGGTACCAGTCATCGCGGATGCAGACACTGGCTATGGTGCGCTTCCGACGGTTCTTGCGCCATCATCCTAGAGGCTCAAATACAGTTCAGGAGGACCCATCATGGTCGCGCGCACCGTCGAGCTCTACGCCCGCGCCGGCGTGGCAGGCCTCCACATCGAAGATCAAGTCCAGACCAAACGGTGCGGGCACCTTGCAGGCAAGGAATGCGTCTCACGCGAGATCTTCGTCGCCCGTATCGCCGCAGCGCGTGCCGCACGGGAACGTATTGGAAGTCCTATAGTCCTTATTGCACGCACCGATGCTCTTCAGAGCGAAGGATACGATGCCGCACTGGCGCGCTTACGCGCTGCGCGGGATGCGGGCGCTGATATGGGCTTCCTTGAGGGCATCACGAGTACCGGGGAGGCTATACAGGCCATCTGGGATCTCGCGCCGTGGCCTCTGCTGCTCAATATGGTCGAGCACGGCGCGACGCCTACTATAACTGTCGAAGAGGCGCGCAAGCTCGGCTTCCGCATGGTCATCTTCCCGTTCGCGTCGATCGCGCCAGCGTATGTGGCTATTAAGGAAGGTCTGGAGAAGTTGAAGCAGACCGGGGTTGTTGGGGCGCCGGACTATCTGAGCCCGAAGTTTGTCTTCGAGGTCTGTGGGTTGGAGGAGAGTATGCGTATTGACGCTGAAGCAGGTGGGGCAGCTTTCGGCGCCCCCGCAGGGTCTGGGGCATGAAAGGGTCGCGCAATATACTTCATGTATGATATTCGGCTCGGTAGTACAAAATCAATACCACATTGACACGCTGAAGCTTGTTTCCTCGCTGCGTGTGGCATGCCACCATCCCGGTGGGAGCGACAGCGCGTCGCCTGGTCCCAAGGTAACGTGCATTGCGAGTGGCACGGCATGCTTCCAGAAGTCCGGGAATTCTCCTTCCTCCTCGTCTCCGCGGGCATCGGCAAAAACATCCACCCGTGTTGTGTTGCTCATGGAAGGGGCCACTGTGTTTGCTGCCGGGTTTCGCGAAGCGTCGGCGTCTTCAGAGGAGGCCGACGGAGGGGGGTAGGCGTACATGAACGGCGTCGCAGTCGGTGGTGCTAGCCACACGGTCTTACGTCCAACAGCCTGCACTGGAGAGAGGGCAAGGATCAGCGTCAGTACGAAGATGGACGGCTCGGACTTAGAAAGGGAAGCTGGAGAAGGGAACCTGCTCGAAGGAGGAACAAGCGGTGATGGATCACGCATACCCACCAAAGAAGTTGAAGAACGGATCCTGCGGCAACGGATCAGCTTCTTCTCCTACACATCGAGTCTCGAGAACGCCGCGAACTCTCCCAAAGAGGGGAGAGTAGGGACTGAGGGACAGTAGATGAAGACGTACCGTGTGTGCGGGAGACACGGTGCCTCCGGGCCCGAACCAGGCGTTTGTGACGAGTTGCTCGGCGTTCGCGGGAGGGGTGTAGGCGGGAAAGTCGCGTGGAGGTGCTGGTGCGCCGTAAACGTAGTCCGGAACAATGATATCTTGTTGTAAGGCGGGGAACTGGAAGAAGAGATCATGTTGCGCGAGGTAGAGCGCTTCCCCGCTCTTCATGCGTTTGAGGAAGTCGTCCCAGGGCATCATTGCTTGTGTCCATTCGTCGGCACGGTAGTCGTGTCCAATCTCGACGGGTACTACGCGCCCGCGGCCAGCAACGGAACGAAGATATGAAGTGCTCGCCCACGGGTGCTCCGACAGTGCTGGCCAGTCTCGTGCGTACCCACGCAGAACAAACGGAGAGTAGACATGCTCGCGCGCGAATCGCCCGAGTGAAGGTGGGGGATCTATGATGGGCACGGTACGCGTGCTCGAGGACAGCGCGACGTCGCTTATGAGTATCTCATTGGCACGCGGACTGTCATCGGTAGCGGCTGTAGGCGGTGATGGCGGTCTGCATTTACGTTGCAGGGTTGCAATGGTGTCGGTTATGAGCTCGTATCTCCCGTTCCCAGCGGCGCCGGCGACGACGAGCGCGTGATCCAAAACAGCGATATTCTCGAGCGCGACATTTCCCGCCACATCTTCCTCGACTTTCAACAACGCGAACACTCTCAACAGGCTGGCGTCCGTATAGAACCTTCTCCAGTTATGCGGGTCATTCTTCCCAGCGCGTACAGCCTCTTGCATTTCCGCATGCGCCCTCTCACGAAGAGCGTCGAGGTCTGCGACGATTGCCGCCACAACGCCTGGCGCTGCGGGAGGTCCCGAAATGGTTGTGGCGGCACTATGAATGCGATCACGAAAAGACGCTTCGCCGGATTCTTCTCATCATCAAGCGCCCGACACGTTGCAATTTCAACGTCATTGTTCACCTGCGTCGTCCCCACTGTCGTGGAGGAGCGCCTCACAAAAGGCTATCGCGTCGTTCCCGTTCATGGGTGGTGGCAGTCGAGGACGACGCGTGCATAGCCTGCTAGGAGGTGACGTGGTGTTGTACACGTGGGAGTATTCCGGGTGATGGGGCAGTTTGCAAGGGCCGGGATCAATTGCCGCCAGCCAACACGGGGCTAAGATCTCATAAAAGGGCCCACGGCGAGAAGGTGCGACCTCGTTTCCGTCGCCCACTCGGCGAACCCCGCCACACCACGTAATGTCGTCCAGGTAAGCATTCCACGGTCTCGTGAGTTGATCTAGGACCTGATGCTCGCCACACTTTGCCTCTTTCCAGGCTCGACCGTCTCCTTCTTCTGCTTGACACTGGCTCAAACTCATCAGTCCGATCAACTGCCGCAAAACAACTTGCACAACTCGCCGCCAAGAGTGTCATCAGCGATGTCGCCGTCGAGGAGGACGTCAAGAGCCACCGCCTCCATGCTTTGGGCGACCCTTCAGCTTGGAATGATCTCATGTCCGTCGTAGCAAGAGTAAGTCTCTTACTCATCATTCAGCTGAGGTTAGGTCTAACGCGATCTATAGGTTCTTCCATATCTTCATTCGAAATCCTACGACACAAGATCTGCCGCTACGTCGGCGCTATCACAGATCTTCTCTCTAGTGCCAGTTTGGCACCCTTATCACGATGAACTCGCCGATGCCGTCAAGGAAGAGGTCGATGAAGCCAACGCTGAAGCCCCGCCTGACTTTCCGACTGTCTCCGTCCAAGAGCTTTGCTCCGTTCAAACAGATAAACTCCTCGTTGGCTCCTCTGGCAAGGAGTTCATCAAGCCGCCCGTATTGACATCCGCTGCCGACGTCAAGAAAGCGCGGAAAGAGGCAATGGGCCGCCTCGGACTTGATTTTCTCGACGATGACGACCTAGACCTCGACATGGACCTCGACAAGGAACTCGGAGCTAATGACCAACCCGAACCCGAGGAGGCTAACGGGCATGATAATGATAATGGGCTGCACATCAAGACCGACATCCCACCTTCTGACGATCCGTTCGACGCTAGCTCGCCCCTCACGCCCATCGATACCAAGGTCAACTCGACCAAGGAGCCGTCGCCCGTGGATCGCTCCAAGTCCAGCACGCCTGCACTACCTAATCCCCCGTCACCTAGTGCATCAGCACCGGACGACCTTGCCGGCCTATCCGCTCGGGAACGTAATCGGTTGAAACGCAAGCGAAAGGTCGGAAATAGCGCCTTCGTCGCCGCGCCGCCACCACAAGCCTCCAGCTCGAAGTATGCTGCCGTACCTGTGGGCAATAAGTGAGTGCCCGTCCTTTTCCACTCCTGCCGTTCTTGTCTGATGTCTTATAGAGCACGCGTGGTCGCCAAGGAAGACAAGCCATCCGCGAGTTCCTCTCGCTTGACCAGTCCACCGGCTACGACAGAGAAGGTCGTTGTTGACCCGACGAAGGGCGGGGCTGTTTCGCCCAAGTCCGAAAAGCAGATGCAGGCCCTACGTGTTGATCCCGGCGTCTGGGTCTGGGATGGGCTCGTGAAGGTGCTCGAGGTCGACCTTTTCAGCCCGGCGTGGGAAGTACGACACGGCGCGAGTATGGCGCTTCGTGAGCTCCTCAAAATACAAGGCGCGCATGCGGGTACACGAGCTGGCCTCTCAAGAGCGGTCAACGCACGCGCGCACGAAGCGTGGTGTAATGCTCTCGCAGCGAAACTCCTTTGCGTCTTCGTCCTCGACAGGTTCAGCGACTACGGTGGCGATCAAGTCGTCAGTCCAGTGCGCGAAACGACAAGTCAGACGCTAGCCGCGTTGCTCCTCCATATGCCGCGTCGCTCAGTCCGACATGTACACGCCATCTTCCTTCAGATGATCCGCCAGGACTTCCCCATACCTAGTCACGCGTTCATGCAACCTGCTGGGCGTGCCCCGCCACCAGTCAAGGGCAAGCGAGGGCGTAAGGCTGCCGCGGATAACTCGAAGCCTAAACATCTGTGGCAGGTCCGCCACGCAGGACTGCTTGGGTTGCAGTACGAGATGGCCGTGCGGAGCGATATCTTCACGGAGGGCAAGGAAGAGGAGACCGACGCATCGCCAGTCAAGATGGAGGTCGACGAGCCAACGTCGCTTAGTTTGGGCACCGGCCAGCAGATTCTTCAAGAGGTTGTCGACTGTGCGATGCTCGGTCTAGGGGATGGCGATGATGACGTACGCTCGAGTGCGGCGTCTTGTCTCCTACCCATCGTCTCGCACATTGTGAACTCGCTCGAGGCGACCCTGCCGCTTCTTCTGAGTGTGCTCTGGAACTGCCTAAGTTCGATGAAGGACGACCTCAGCTCGAGTGTTGGCGTCGTCATGGACTTGCTGGGCAAGCTGGTATCCTATGATAAGGTCATCGCTGTGCTGGCGAGCAGCTCGACCTCGTACGTGTCATCTCATTCGACACCATCTCCGATACTGACGCACTCTATAGTCAACCGCTGACTGCGTTGGCGCCCACCCTCTTCCCTTTCTTCCGGCATACCATTGTCTCTGTTCGCCTCGCTGTGGTCGAGACACTTCACTCCTTCATGCACGTCACAAGTCTGCCGAAAGACTGGATCAACGACCACTTCTTGCAGTTGCTCTTCCAGAACCTCATTGTCGAGGAGCGGATGGACATTCGGACGGCGACTTCCGCTGCGTGGCGTACGGCGCTTAACACGCTCAGCAAGCAACCTGATTGGCTCCAGAACACTGTTACACCGCAATTGCGTTTGGACTGGTTCTCGCTGACGATGACGCCCATCGGCGCTCCCCTTGATCAATCCGTCTTCTTCGATCCGAATGCCGACGGCGACGCGGATAGCGTGGCGGTGGCCGAGCGGCACAACGTCGACAAGAACATGGTCGCGCAGGATCTCACGCTCATTTCTCAGGACATCGTCTGGCTGTCTCGTATCGCCACGTCCAACGCTCTCGCATACATGCTCTTCCTCTGGAGTCCACCAGGCGACGCACTAGAGGAGGCGTTCCCGCCGTTGTTGACGCACTACGCAAAGTCTTCGAGCGTGCTCCAACGGGTGCTCACGGCTATCATCACGGAACAATGGGCGCGCGAGTATGAGGATGAGAACCCTTCATCGCCACCACTCGTCGAGCCTTCACAACTCGCCCGGACGATGGCTGAGCTGGCTCTCGAGGTGCTGCAGGCAGAGCCGCCAACGGCGTACTACGAGATGGGGGCGGCGTTGCATACGCTGAGCGTAGAATGCCGTGCGCTTCTCGACGGCTTCCATCGTGACTGCAAGATTCCGGCGGGCAGCGTCCCGCAACTCGCAGCGCACATCGATTTGTCAGGTACAGATCCGAACGCGTTCACCCTCGTTACTGCCGAAGCCACCGTCGGGCAGATCTTCCAATCGCTCAAGACCAGCCTTGGGCGCACACAGAAGAAGCCGCTGGCGGTGCTTGAAGAGAAGCGCAGAGCTGTCGCGGCGAATATTGAGCGGTACAAGACGGCCAAGACGAGTGAACACGATGTGCGCGTCGCCGCTGCCTTTGCTGCTGCCTTTGTGGCCCTTCGCAGTACGCCGAACAAGGTCAGCCCCATTGTCAAGGGGATCATGAATGGCATTAAGGTTTGCACACACATTACAATTGCATACTATTCGTGACGCTGACGAGTGCGTGCATAGATGGAAGAGAACGTGCACTTGCAAACGCGCTCCGCCGTCGCCGTGGCTCGTTTCATCGACTTCTGCGCTGCCCATAACCTCGCGCAACCGCCCGACAAGATTGTGAAGAACCTGTCGACGTTCTTATGCCAGGACGTAGAGCGCACGCCAACCTTCGCACAGCACCGCAAGATGAACGACGGCATATTGTCCTTCACCAATGCCCATCAAACGCAAGAGCATGCGGCGAGTGCCACAAGTGCCGCCGACGAAGTCCGACTGGATAAGTCACGTATCAGTCGGCGCGGCGCTCGCCTGGCGTTCGAGCAATTGTCTGCTCGTTTCCGCGCTCAACTACTTGACACGGTGCCCAACATGTGGCCGAGCATGGCAGGCGGGCTTCAGAGCGCATGCGAGCTCGAGTCTGTCGAGGCGATGGACGAAGCCATCGAGAAGCAACATGGGCAGGACGTCATCGACAGTCTGAGCGTGCTGGAAGCTGTTGTACCAACACTCCACGCCGATCTATGGTCGAAGGTCTGCGAGCTGTTCCCAGCAGTCGGGCGCGCCCTGCGCAGCAAGTTCGCCATCATCCGACAGGCAGCTGCTCGTTGTTTTGCTGCGATGTGCGATGTGATGACCGTCAGCGCCATGCACTTCGTCATCGACGAGGTCTTGCCTTACCTCGGTGACACGACAGTCTTGGCGAATAGGCAGGGTGCCTGCGAGCTGGTATACAGTACGTGCCGATGAGTGCGCTGATGAACTCTGCTAACTCTCTTATAGACGTTGTACAACGACTCGACCACAAAGCGCTTCCATACGTCATCTTCCTCGTGGTGCCCATTCTTGGTCGCATGAGCGATCCGGATGACGACATACGCTCGACGGCGACGAACACCTTCGCGACGCTCGTGAAGATGGTGCCGCTGGAGGCCGGTATGCCCGATCCCGAGGGCTTTTCCGAGCAAATGCTCGCCCGTCGCGAGGCAGAGCGCCAGTTCCTCACGCAGCTTCTGGATGGTAGCAAGGTCGAGCAGTACAAGATCCCCGTCGATATCAAGGCCGAGCTGCGCAAGTACCAGCAGGATGGTGTCAACTGGCTTGCTTTCCTCGCCAAGTACCAGCTACACGGTATCTTGTGTGACGGTACGTCCAACTTCAACCTAAAGTTTGGCTCTCATTAAACTCATGTATGGCAGATATGGGCCTCGGCAAGACGCTACAGTCCATTTGCATCCTGGCCAGCAAGCACTTCGAGCGCAACCAGCGGTACAAGGAGACAAAGTCGCCGGATGCAAAGCACTTGCCCTCCATCATTATCTGTCCTCCGACGCTCACTGGTCACTGGTTCTACGAGATCAAGAAGTACGCCGAGAACCTACGACCAGTCATGTACGTCGGCAACGCGCGCGAGCGCCAGCGGATCGCCTCTCGGCTCAAGGACTACGACGTCATCATCACCAGTTACGAGGTTGTCCGCAACGACATCGTGACGCTGCAGAGCAAGTCGTGGCTCTACTGTATCCTTGACGAGGGCCATGTCATCAAGAATGCGCGGACGAAGCTTACGAAAGCTGTCAAGTGTATCAAGGCGACTCACCGTCTGATCCTGTCTGGCACGCCTATACAGAACAACGTGCTCGAACTCTGGAGCTTGTTCGACTTCCTCATGCCAGGCTTCCTCGGTTCGGAGGCATACTTTGCAGAGAAGTTCAGCAAGCCGATCTTGTCCAATCGCGACGGTAAGAGTAAGAACGGCGAAGCTGGTAAGCCACCTCTTTCTTTTGGAGATCACGTCGTTCTTACGCGATAACCTTAGCTGCGCTCGCTCTCGAGGCACTACACAAACAAGTGTTGCCGTTCCTGCTTCGACGCCTGAAGGAGGATGTTTTGAACGACCTCCCGCCGAAGATCATCCAGGACTACTTCTGCGAGCTTTCCGACCTGCAAAAGACACTCTACGACGAATTCTCGCGCTCGCAGGCTCGAGAGAACGCCGAAGAGGCTGTTAAGAGCGAGGGAAAGAAGCAGCACGTCTTCCAGTCGCTTCAGTACTTGCGCAAGCTTTGCAATCACCCCGCACTCGTACTCAAGTCTCAAGAGGACGTCAAGGGCGCGCTGCAGAAGATCGGACAAACGGACCCGAAGGCAATGAGCGATATCGTGAATGCGCCGAAGCTCCTTGCGTTACGGTATGTACTCAGATGAATGCCCCCATCCCTGAAAACTAAGCGCGCTATAGGCAACTGCTCGTCGATTGTGGCATAGGAGGACCATCTTCACTTCACAGCGGCGATGGCGGAAAGGGCGAACTGGCCGATGCGGACTCGTCCTCTTCAGGCGCATTCTCGCAGCATCGCGTGCTCATCTTCTGTCAGATGAAGCAGATGCTGGACATCATCGAGACGGACCTCTTCAAGAAGCACATGCCCGCTGTGACTTACATGCGCCTCGACGGAGGTACAGACGCGAACAAGCGCCATAACGTTGTACAAACATTCAATGCCGACCCCAGTATTGATTGTCTGCTCTTGACGACTCATGTCGGTGGACTTGGTCTTACGCTCACTGGCGCGGACACGGTCATCTTCGTCGAGCATGACTGGAATCCGATGAAGGACCTGCAGGCCATGGACCGCGCGCATCGTCTCGGGCAAAAGAAGGTCGTCAATGTCTACCGCCTCATCACCAAGGGCACTCTCGAAGAAAAGATCATGGGGTATGTCGTTATGGTCAATGCTTGCATATCGATACTGATGTTTCGCTAGCTTGCAACGCTTCAAGCTCAACATCGCGAATTCAGTCGTCACGCAGCAGAACTCTGGCCTCGCGTCCATGGACACGGATCTCGTGCTTGATCTATTCAAGCACACGTCCGCAGACGAAGAAGCGGCGGCGGCGAAGAAGGATAAGCCCGCGTTTGACGCCCCACCTGGCGCGAAGAATATCTTGCAGGGCTTAGAGGACCTGCCTACGGAGGAGGAGTACCAGGATCTGGAACTGTCTTCGTTCATGTCATCCCTGACTGGTTGATTCTTATTACCCGGACCCTCAGACACATTTCGTTGTTGTGCATCGTCGGACTGAACTTCTCGCAATCTTCCAACAATGTTTCAGTATGCTTCGCATTCGCACGTAGAGTACATCCATGTCGTTACCCACTGCAATTCTCCCCATAGCCGTCATACAATCCATTAATGCTCCCCTCCCCAAGTTGGCTGCACAGATGCACTATGAATCCCTCGTAAGACTTCTACCGTGGACTGGTAGTTGCTCCACTAGGAGATACTCTCTTGCGGTATAACATCAGTACTGTACTGGCGATTCGGGGATGTCTGTACTCAAGGTCTACTAGTGCAAGCTCGGGGAACGCCCGCATCGGGGAATGCCGATGCCGATCTCAGGCGTCGAATGTCGACGCGTTCTCAACACTCTGCCACGACGAAGAGCGCCCATTCATCTTCTCAGTGGGTAGCCAACGGTACTCATGTGGAGCTTACCCTCTCACTACTGTGACTATGTTCGCGCGCTGGCTTTCAGAAACCTCTGCTTGGGCATCGCGGGGCGAAACGCGAACCGACTGGGACTTCGGAGCTACGCCATGAGGCCTCGAGGCCCGGTGTGCATGCCGCGCGCTGGACTGCCGAGCGGCCAACTCTGACGCGTCCTCGAGGCTCCCGCGTTGTGATTGCAACGTGTTG